TATAGTTTTTTGGGTCAGAGAGAAAATCAGAACCCCCACAGGGTCCCCACACCACACTCTATCCCCAGTTTCAGAAGGCCTGGATCACAGGCACATGCAGACATGCCTGACATGCTCATGGAGGTCCCAGGATGAGAACTCAGGACCTTTCCCAGCTGGGTCCAGTTGCATCATTACTGTGCCACCATATAGTCCCTACATAATATTTTTTTCAAAATATAAATAAAAGAACTTGCTCTTGGTGAACTTTTCAAATAGTCCAGGAATGGCAAATAGAAACTATTAGATCGCAATCTCCCTCTTACCATTCCCGCACCTTACAGACTAGAGGGTTTTGTAGGCGACAATGAGTATTTATTCATAAATAAACAAGAGCAACACAGGAGTGAGAAGAGAAAGGGGCAGGCTGATGTGGCAGAAGGAAACCTAGGACACAGCTGGATGGGAATGAGAGAAAGACTGGAGAAGAAAGAGGGGCCCAGGGGTGTGTTAGTCAACAAGAGCAGCGAGTGAGACAGAGGTGAGAAGGGGAGCTGGAGATGATGCCAGGTAAGGACAGGAAGTCCAGAGAGATGGGAGCTCCTTGTGGAGGAGAGAAGTCGCCCAGCAGCAGCTGTGAGGAGTAAGACAATGGCCATGGGTGAAGCCCGCCCCAACAGGCTTCCTCCTTCCCCTCCCAGAAGGTGCCAACTGTGTCTCCCAATGGTTTTGCCACATGGTTTTCTAACGCCAGAAGCACGGGCCTGTTTCCGAGTGGAACTTGTTTATCTCCAGTCTGGAGTCTCAGAGTTCAACACAAACCTGCAAACAAAGACCTCCCCTGCTCTGTGATCCTCAGCTCTGCTCTCCCGCAACGATGGAGCCAAGACTCTGCTCTCCTGATGACTTTCACAGCCCAGTCCGCAGAGAATCCCACCCCCAGCTTCCTCCTGCGTCTTTCCCACTGCCTCTGATTGTTGTGGACATCCTCATGGGGAGAGCTGTTTTAGCTTCTTTTAATCCTTTTCTTCCTCTCCTTAGAACTATGCAGAGAAAATAAGATTGTTTTCCCAAGAGAAGCTATCTGGACCTTTTAGGGTGATCCAAGACTCAGTGGTCTCTCCTAAGAGCTGAATTCATCGTCATTCAGCTGTTGTATTATTAAAACAAACCTTAGATAAGAAGTGGTCCATTAAGCTTCCTGTAACTATAAAATTCTGAGGCATATTTTCAGGGCTAGCACTCCGGAAAAGCTCTGCAGGTCTCCATAAGTAGAAAGTAGCAGGATTGTCAGTGGGGCAGGTACAAAAGGGAGGTGATACTAAGAGCTGGCACACATTTGCCATGTGTTTGCCGTGCATGACACTAACTATTTAAACACATGCGATAAACCAAGGGTAGTTGTCGCTGTTGTACCCACTTTACAGATGGTGAATTTGAGCTCACAGAAGCTGAATAACTTGGCCAAGGCTGGGATTGAAGCTGGGATTGAAAATTAGCCAGGTTGGAAATGGCACTGGGCTCTCGACCAGACTACTGTTGCATTTGCCTAATTCAAGCTTTGCTAAATTAATGTCTTCCCCTTGTCCCCAAACTGGATTTATGCTCCATGAGGGAAGGGGTCTTGTCTACCCTCTTCTCCACTGTATCCCCAGCAGACAGCAGACACTCAGTAAATACTGCTGAGTGAGTGGATCAATGAATGTATATCACATTTTTATTTCACTATGTGCCATAATACGAAATCTCTGAATACTGAGGCTTTGAGTGATAACTAAATGTGTTCAAGGAACAGTCTTATAAATTTTACATTTCTAATTAATCCAAACTTTCTCTGAGAAAAAATATTTTTTTCTAAGTATCAGAACCTTGCAAGTTCCCTGCAACATGAGACTTCAATAAGGAATCCCAGCTCGAAAATATAGGGGGTCTCTAGAGAGAGCTCTTGGAATAATTTAAATATTGATTAATCACTTATTATGTTTTCAAAGCTCTTCTAGGCCTCTTTCCTTTTCAATAGCAAAGAGCTGTCTGTAAATCACCTAGGATACTTGTTTAAAATGTAGAGCAAGGGAATCTAGGAATTTTTGAAGCTATCTCAGGTCCTTATTATACATACAAAACTTTCATTTCTTTCTCTTTTTAAGTTTATTCCTTTATTTATTTATGAGACAGAGAGAGAGAGAGAGATTGACTTTTGACAGAGCCTCACCATGGCAGGATCCTCCCACCCCAGCTACATAGCCTACAAGCGCATAGCACCATGCCCAGCCTGTTTTAGGTTGGACTGGGAACCGAATCTGGGTCTCCCATGAGGAATCAGCCACTGAGCAACAATGTCTTAACAGCATGCACCACCACTGTTGAGTCCATATCAAATTTTAAAAACCATTATGAGGGCAAGTGGCATGTGACATCGTGGTTAAGGGTGCTGGACTCCCACATGTCTGACAGCAGTTCAGGTCCCAGACCTGGCAGCTTGCTTTTTCGCTTCCCCTCTCTCTCTCTCTCTTGCTCTGTTCTTCTCTGGTCAAAGTAAAATAGAAAGCAAGAAAGAAAAAAATAATTATTTTTTTAAAAAAGAAAACCATTATAAGGGAAGTAGGACTTTGTTGTTCTTGTTGTTGCTATAGGGTGCATGTGAATGCCAGAGAGAGACACAGAGAGAGAGAGAGAGAGAGAGAAAGTGAGAAATCACCACCCCCGTCTGCAAGGGGGAAGGATGGCCACACTGCAGTCCCTTCTCCTCCCTTCTCCTCTCAGGGTTTGGGGCCAACATGCACATGCACCTGGTGTGTTTTCCAAGCTGCCAAGTCCAGGATTCGAACCACACAGTCAGCCATGTGGGATCTAGTGCCTTAACCACTACATCACCAGACTGCCCCAAATTCAGGCTATTTTACCCTCACTCCATTGGATAAAGAAAAGTCTAAACTCTTTATAAGACTGTTCCATGAACACATTTAGTTTTCACTCAGAGCTTCAATATTCAAAAAATTTCATATTACAGGACACAGTGAAATGTATCACAAATTCGGTGATCCTTCAGTTTATCTAAAGATTCTTTACTTGTTGGGGCTGGCAGGTGGCATGGTGGTTAAAGGCGCTGGATTCCCATGGTTGGAGTCCCAGAATTGGCAATTTGCTTTCTCACTTTCCCTTTCTCTCTCTCTCTGGCCAAATTTTTTAAAAGTAATAATAATAATAACAAATAATAATAACAAATGGAATTAAATAAATAATTTTTTTAGAAAAAGATTCTTTACTTGCTATGATATCCTGGGATCATACGCCATATCAATTTTCCCATTTTGTGTAGATAGTAACATTATATTTATCTAAAAGGTACTTCCCTGTCCAGTTTTCAGAGGGTAGCTATCTAGCCTTTCCCTGACATACCAGAATCTAGTGCACAGGGAGTCAAGCAAGAAGTGAGAAGATCTGATCCAGTCTGCCACAAGAGACTGTGTATCCTAGAGTAAGTAGCTCAGCCTCTCTGACGCACTGTTTCCTCGTCTATTAGTTAAGCATGTGAGGATGAACAGCTTTCGATGCTGCACATGCGCTAATTGGGATCATTCTGTACGCAAGGATCACATGTCCTCTTGGTCTTGTTTTTCTATACTCAGAAGTCATGCTTCTGTGATCATGAATTAGGGTCAGAAGGTGGCAGGTAAGTAGTCACGGAAATGTAAAGAACTCCACCCCTCTGAATCAATTGTGACCAAAAAATTCAGAATATACATTGATATGATACACACCTATAATAATTAGTTATTTTTTAAAATTGGGGGCAAGTGGTGGTTGACCATAAAAAACTTAGGGTAGGGACCAGCAGTTAGCGTAATAGCTATGTTGCTGGACTCCCACGTAGTCGACCGCGGTTCGCGTCCTGGACCCGGTAGCTTAAAACTCACACCAGGCGCATGTGCGTGCGTGCCCAAGATCCCGAGAGGAGAATCGAGGAGAAGGGATTGCGGCGTGACCATCCCCTCCAGGGGGGTGAGTTCTCGCTTTCTATCTCTCTGTCTCTTTCTGTCTCTCTGGCAAGCGCACGTGCCCTATGGCAAAAACCTCTCAAAAAAAAAAAGTAAAAGAAAAAATCAGGGTGGATCTTGAGGTTGAGTCACCAGGCCACATACCTGCTGTTTTGCTCAGATGAGGGTGTTTCTGGGTGAAGGTGCCTGGACATTCTATTGTCGGGGTTGCATAATACTAGATCCAGGAAAGGCCTTGGTCATTCTGTGGACAGGTATTTATTGATATCCACTATGACCAGGTACAGTTCCAGGTATTTGGAGCCCGGAGGTGAACCCCACTGACGAGACCCATTTTTTTTTTTAGGAACTGACATTATAGTAGGAAGGAGAAGTGATCAATATTTGCAACAATGAATCAGTGATTAGGGGCACAGAGAAAGTGGGGACTTAAGTTAGGAAGCTGGAGGAATTCCCAGTCTCTCAGCCACGTGTCTATCACCAGGTTCTGCAGTTGAGGAGGACGAGGCAGACAGCAGTGACCTGCTCAAGACTAGGCTGACAGCCAGCTGCTTGACGGCAGCAGGGCTGGGTGACAACTGCCTTCCTGCAAAGCCAGTCTCCTTCGCCGCCCCTCTCAACGATAAACTTTCCCTATCACTGCCTAGCTCTGAGACCCAGACCTGGGAGAGAGGGTAGGGAACAAGTGCTCAAGTACCCTTGCTGGCCCCAGGGCACAGGGGTCTCATTGACCCTCATCACTTCCCAACACCCAGGTAGAAGCCCGGCTGGGCGGGGCCTCACACCCGCGCCTGCGGGTCCAGCAGGTGGCAGCAGCGAGCAGCCGCGCCCCCCGCGCTGCCAACCCGCGAGCCCGCATCATGGATGTCGAGCTCTCCTATTTCGCTTTGCTCGCCCTGGAATCCGAGACCCCAGAAGACGACCAGGATTCATGAGCCGGTCGCAGGGGCCGGGCCAGGGGCCTCTGGCTCCCGACGCTGGCCGAGAGGTGGGGCGGTCCCGGGGCGGGTCGCTGCTCCCCGAGACCGGGCGGGGACGCGCTGCCCCCGCCCTGCCTCCCTGTGGTCCACACCCCCTTTGGGCTCCGGAGCCGCTGGGCTAGAATAGTCCGGGGTGCGCGCCAGCAGGCGCTGCCAGCCCGGCTTCTACCCGGGTTTCGGGTCCCAGGAGCAGGAGGCCTGGGGTGCCCGTGCCCTCCCTGCCTCCTCCTCCCTCTTCCCGCTCTCACCTGAGCCTGTTAGTCCACTCGCCTTCAAGGCCAGTGGCTACAGCCCAGGCGGAGAGGGCCCAGCGGAGGGAGAGCACCTGAGGATACAGAGCGGCCCTGGACAGCCTTTCACCCCCAGGTGATGAGTGAGGTTCCAAGAACCGAAGATTTTAAAAGCCACCGGGGCCTCCGTATTGAATGAAAGACCCAGTGCGAAGACATCACCATGAACACGAGCAGTAAGTGGATCCTCCTCTCCTTTGCCATGGGAACAGGGGTGGGGGCGGGAGGTGCAGGAGCCTGCGCTCGGGCTGCCTGGAGGGAGGAGGGAAGCCTGGATCTGTGGACACCTGACCCCCAGGCTCTTTCTTGGTGCTTTCTGAGCTCCCAGGCAAAGGTGTAGCTCTGGAGCCTGCCTCTTCGTGATAATTTGCTAATATTTTCAGCAGCGCCAGTTGTCTCTGCTGGGAAGACTGCTTGGCTCCTTCTAGCAATGCCTGGGAAGGCCTAGGAAGCGGCAGTGTGGCCATTGTCTGACTGTGGGCGCTCTGAGGAGACCTCCCTATGCACATCTGGGGTTGCATGGAGCACGGTGCTTGTCCTGGAGCTGGGAGGAGCAGCGAGGCTGTGCTGTGGGCCGGAAGACAGGCGGTGGGTGGGTGTGGGCAGGCAGTGGGATAGGCAAGAGCAGTTCAATAAATCATCAGGAAGCCGCCTTCGGGTCTGAGATTGGGAAACATCCATCCCTGGGCTTCTCCACCCGATGGGCCCAGGCTGATTTCTCCACATACCTACAAACTGCTTAACCAAAAGGGAGACCGAAAAAAGGCACAAGCCCTTGGATGACTCTTCCACGCCAGAGGCTACAACTGCTTTGCAGAGCCAGCACCAGACATTTTGCTGCTGGGTTGAGCCTCAGCTCCTGAGAAATGCATGCAGCAATGCAAGGAGTTACTGTCTGCTTCTCTTCAATACAGTCCCTGTGGCTATGAGCCCCAGCTGGGGTGGCGTGGCCTGGGCAAGGCCACAGGAGGGCACATCTGGGTTCAAGAGTCACTTTCCTGCTCTCTCATCAGCTTAGCTGGTCTAAGTCATCCAAGCATCAGGTGGGGGGTGTTGAGCCAGAGGACCCCCCACACCAACATGCCCTTCCTTGAGTCTGTGACTTGGTTACCAGTCCCTTTGCTGCCTCTCAGATGGCCCATCTGTGAAATGAGAGAGGTTCAGCTAGAACCCCTCTAATGTGAGAACCTGTAAGGTTTTTTTTCCCTAAAAAAAAAAAAAAAAAAAAAAAAACAAAAAAAAACAAAAACCCAC